GAGCCCAGACAGATCATTTGTACCATACTTAAAAAAAAAATAATACATCCCCTGAAAATAAGCCCTAGGGTGTCTTCTTGAGGAAAAATAAATATAAGACCCTGTCTTATTTTTGGGGAGACATGATAGAAGAGCCCCCTCCACATGCAGAACTTCCCTCAAGCCCTGGCTTCCAGCCTCAGGTCTTGTTTCTCTACGTGTTTTTTGCCATTTCTTCACCCGCCATCTCTAATTTATTCAGCAGGTTAACTGACTTTTTCCTCAGATGCAGCCCCCTCTGGATATATTCTGGTCATCAGCTTCCTTTGCTCATTTTCTTTGGTCTTCACTCTTCCAAATGTTTTTCACGTTTTAGGAATGTATGCAAATTACTCATTCCATATTAGCCCTCTCAGATCATCTTTCTTGTGGGTCTGTATTTGATTTATTTACATACTGTCATTCTAACAGAATCTCTGTAGAGACGAGAGAGAAATGTTCAGTCTGCCACCTTGAATCAGAATATGTGCCTCTCCATGCCATTTCTCTTTATGCTTTAACAATTAGCATCTTAAACGTAGATTGAATTCTTATAGGAAAATGTATTATAATGACCCAATAGCTTTACTTTTCTTCAAATTTCACAGAGTAAAAAAGTATAACCTTTCTCAATTTGTTTTGTACCTTTTTTCTTTAATATTTTTGCCAAATTTATTTTCTTTTACATCCAAATCATCTGAAATTTTTCCCTTTAAAGATATTTTAAGCCTCTTTAATTCACTCCATTCCTTCGCATTCTTTATTTGTTTTGCAATGTTTTTCCCATCCACTCATTTTTTCTTGACCCAACTCTGTTCCTTTGCCTACATTGATGTGAGTTTTCACAAGAATGTACCCCACTTAACAACTTACTTAGGAGGGCAAAAGCTAAAAACAAATGGATTTTTCCTTGGTATCTAAAAACTATCCTAGATTTCTCAGCTTACTGTAGGTCTCCAGGGAACCATTTTAACAACCTGTGGACTTCCAGAACACCATCTTCACAGATCTGAATCAGAAGCATCCCTGAAATTGCTAGAATGGCCTTGTGAATGTGTGGAAGAGCTGGTGCATTTTCTAGTTAGAAGTTCTATTTAGCAGTAGCCATCTCCTCTGTACCCTGAAGTGCATATCACTGGGCCTAGAGGTGTGTGTTTCACTCCTTTAAAATATGACTTCAGTTTTATTTATTTTCTTGTTCCTTATAGCCCTCTAGTTATAAGGAACCAGGAGAGAGTATGAATTAAACAGCTCCACTTTATCATAGCAAATAGTAGAAGGAAAACAAAGAATATGTTCTTCTGCCTGTTTGTGTTTGGAACATCTTTTTATCTTCCATTGTATTATAGAACAATTGTTGGGCTAGGACAAAGAACTAAGTCAGGGTCCTTACTGTGCTCTAATTAGCTGTGTAATCTTAAGCAAATAGTCTTGGCAAGACTCAATTGCTTTGTCTAACAAAAGGTAGAGAGAAGTTTGGAATAGATGATTTCTTAGATCTTATTTCTAGATTTAAAAAATCCATGATAATGGTTCTATGTTTCTGTTCTTCTTCATTATTTCTATTTTATCTCTTCTTTCTCTTTATTTTTTAATTTTTCTCTTCACTGCTCTACTCTTTTACTATTTCTTGTGCCAATATCATTATTGGTTCCCCTTCACCTCCCATTTTATTTTTCCAGCTCTTTGGTCTTCTCTCCTTTTACCTATGCTGTTATTCCTCTAAGTTTTTCCTTTTCTGGGGTAATTGAAAATGTCCTTAGAGTATAAGAAAATGGGAGTTTTAGCCTTCCCTAAATTACTAAAATTTTAATTTTTCTTAAAAGGATGCATCACTGTAACATAACGTAAGAATTTATAATTCAGAACCCATGCTTGACAGAAAATGTTTTTGAAATCTTTTATCTTTTGCTTTCTGAGTGATTTTTTTTATTTTGCATTCTTATTTTGTTTTATTTTATCTAAACAGAGAACGGACATTCTTTGAAGTCTAATCATGATCACTACAGATGAACCCATTGTACCAACTTCCCAACAGTCTATAGAGTATTAGAAGATTTTTACATTTTGAAGAAGGGGAGCAAATCTAAAAAAATTTCGGTTGAACTTTTGAAAATAATGTATGGTGAATCATGTTGATTTAGGACTTAAATAGATATGTAAATTTGGGGTCAAGATATAAGTTCCAGTCCAGTTCAGTTTGGATGTGTGATTAATTTTCAGGTCATCTAAAGTTTAAAAGTAATATTCATGAGTTCTGGCTTTTGACTTATCATTTTCCTGGTCATAAAACATTTAAAAAGTTGTGACTATTTCTGTCATTATATATCTATTCAATATCATCAAATATATAGAAGGCAATGCTGTAACTAGGTGAACTCTAAAACTACAACTTCTGACACATAGCTTGGCAAATACAATAACTCTAAGTACAGAACGCTAAATGTTTAGTTTAGTTTATATTTTTAAGTCCAAATTTTTCCATTTTAGATTCCCTTATAGATACTTCAGACTACAAATTGACCCATTTAGCTGTTCTTTTGAGTATCTTGTAGCTTTTTTGGTACATAACTTTGGTCAATATGTGAATTTCAATATTCAGTATCCTTGAAAATGGCTTAAGTGCTAACTCCCATTTCAGTTCAGAGAAAGCCAGAAGTTGTGACTAGTACTGGTCAAAGGCCAGTGGAAGTTACAGTTCATATCAGCATAACCCTATATGCCCATGTTAGATTGACCAGATCCGAAAAGAACATCAGCCTCCAGTCCAGCCTCCTTGTGAAACTCTTCCCTAAATCTAATTTATTTCCACTGAATCATCCAAGACTTCTGGAAGGCAGGGAAGTGGGCAGTGATGCAAGGAAGGGAGACTCTTTGGAGATTTTGCAAATAGTTTATGGTGAGGACAGGGCTTTTCTACCTGAAAAAAGACCACTTATTAGTTCTATGAATTTGGCAGACAAGGTGTGCTATCTTGCTCACATTCAAAGAAAATCAAAGCCTCTGTTGGATGACTCCAAATAGCATTCAAATTTAAGACATATATGGATCACTTATATTTAGATTTTATTCAGAGTTTTCTTTGAGTGTAATAAAAGCTAAAAAATAGGAAGAACATGTCTTTTTCCTTTTTGTTGACTATTAACAGATGTCATTGGAATGTAAAATCTATGTGAAATTATGAAAGGATATTTTTAAATTCCTACCAGTTGAATGAATACATATTTAATATGTGCCCAGAGTATTCTAAAAACTTAGATGCATTAGTGAAATAACTTTTTGATGAATATACTTTTAATAAAGTTTTGTGACCCTTTGATAAGTTATATTTCAATAATATTTGAACCTGTGATTTCTTATTATTAGTGAAAAATCTTCCAGCTGAGTTCATTTGAAGACAAATACAATATTTTGTTTGATCAATTAGTTACCAATTATGAAGTTTTAGAGAGCATGAAATATACTAAACATATCATTTAAGAATATATGTGAGCTTGACTGCATGCTATGGGCTATCTGTATGTATTTTTTGTTTTCATATTGATAGCATCTAATGCGTTTATTTTGCAACCTTAATTTCTAGGTTTGCTTAAATTTCAAGACAATTCATGCATATTAGTAGAAACCTTAAGAAAAAAAACAAAATGAGCAAGCAAATATTTGAAGGAAGTCACAAATCTATAGATTTCTGTCAGAAAGAAAACAGGCATATGAATAGTTTTTTCTCTTCATGTATTATGTTCATAGAATAACAGAAAAAGTTGTATTAACACAGTATTTGTCATTATGTAGTATTTTAATACCTACATTATTATCATATTTAGTATTTGGTATATTTATTCTTTTATTATTTTTAACCACTAATATATTTCACTTAAGAGTTAAAAATTATGCTAAATAAATTGTATTTTTATATGGAATATACATGCCATTATTAAGAACAGCTGGGTATGTGGTGATTTCAGGCAATAAATCTGAATTCATTCTATAAGTTTAAAAATTGTAAAATTCAAAAGTTAAATTACATATATGATATATAAACTGAACACATTTTATAGCACGTAATTTAGTTATATTAATTTTTTAATATGATGCATTGACAGTATTTTTTATTTTGCATTTTTTCAATGTGTTTACATTGTATGAATTGAGCTTTTTGCATACGTATTCTTGATTTGTAGCTGCTTAGCAGGATTTTTGTTGTGATGTAACCATTGTTCCTATAAAAAATATGATGTACATTTGTCTTGTGTATTTGTCTTCATTCCACATGTTCCATAGTATATATTTTTATATGAAGTTATTTATAAGGAATAGTAATTGACAATGTGATTATCTCTTTTACCATCATTGTTTTCAAAAAGTAGGTATTATTAGTCCATTTTCTCAGATAATCTCAAGCAGATTCTCAGTATGATGTAAGGCAGATAAGTTCTTAATTTTCAGTCACAATTGTTTTACCTTCATTCCATATCTTACATCATAAAATAGTTATTTTAACTATCTTTGGACAAGTCATTTTCTTCATTTGGTTTTATTTCCTTCTTTTTTCTTTTGGGGGCTTAAATTTTCGGTTCATTTGCTCTAAAGTATTAGGGATTCTTTCAGAAGAGAGCATTTTCCAATTTCAGTAACCAAGAGCTAAGCATTTGCAGACACTAATTTATTTTAATCCACAATGTCATGAAGCGGGTGTTGAGCATATTTTTACAGATGAAGAAACTGCTGAGTGGTGAATGTACTTGTCCGTGGTTAAAGAATTAGAACTCAAGCCTAAGTCTGTCTTGTCTCACTTTTAAACACTATCTTAAACTGCCTGCCCCTTAAATTGTTTTATATATCTGTTTCAGTCTGAAACTAATTAAATTTGTGGTTGATTTATGTTTTTTATTATTAACCTTCCACACTTCCATTTCTGCAAACATGACATAATGAAAAAAGTTTTAATACAATAGAGCATTAAAATATGTCTTTTCTTTTAGCCAGAAACGTTTGAGCATCTTTTTATCAAGCACACAGAGTCAGTGACATTTGGTCCTCTTCTTTTGGAGCCTGAAACCATTTCAGAAGATATCAGTGTTGATACACCATGGAAAAATAAAGATGAGATGGTACCAGCCACTGTGGTCTCTCTACTTTTGACAACTCCAGATGTTGGAAAGGGTTCTCTTTGTATTAGTGATCAATGCAACAGTGCTAACTTCTCTCAGGCCGAGGGTACCCAGGTAACCTGTGAGGACGAAAGCAGGAGACAACCCTCTGTTAAATATGCCACGCTGGTCAGTAACTCGAAATCAAGTGAAACTGATGAAGAACAAGGGCTTATAAATAGTTCGGTCAGCAAGTGCTTCTCTGGCAAAAATTCTCCACTGAAAGATTCTTTCCCTAATAGCTCTTGGGAGTTAGAGAGCCAGGCGTTTCTTATGGTATCAGATCAGCATCTGAACAAAATGTCACCACACCTTACATTCCCAGAAGGACTGGATGAACTTTTGAAACTGGAGGGAAATTTCCCTGAAGAAAATAATGTTGAAAAGTCTATCTATTATTTAGGGGTCACGTCAATCAAAAAAAGAGAGAGCGATGTGTTTCTGACTGACGAGTCCAGAGTGTTGTGCCCATTCCCAGCCCACTGTTTATTCACTGACCTCAGAATCCTCCAGGAGAGTTGCTCACACTTTGTGGACAATAATTTCAATTTAGGAACTTCTGGTAAGAAGACTTTTGTATCGTACATGCCTCAATTTCAAACTTGTTCCACTCAGACTCATAAGATAATGGAAAACAAGATGTGTGACCTAACTGTGTAATTTCATTCAAGACATCTTCAGATTTGCATCACAATGGGTCATATGAAGTGTAATGTATTGCTTTATAGCTGTATATATTACTTTAAAAGATGGAAGAGAGAAAAGAAAATGGTCAGAGTCAAATTTGAAAATGGTTGTTTCAAAATTAATGTTGTCCGTTTGTCCTCTCTTGGTAATACTCGCAAAAAATGTGAGAAAGCCTTCATGAGCCTAGTAGTGTAGACAGACTCTTATAATGATTCTATTCCCAAACTGTAGTGAGAAGGGCTCTTGTTTCTAACTAGAAATTAGCTAACAAGTAACAAATACCATCTTTTGTGAACATTAGACCTGTGTAGAAAGAGCTAATCTTTTGTATTACACCTACTTCTGAAACAAGGCTTCAAACTAATATTTGTGAGATGTAATTGTTCTTTCAGGGGTGTGTTTGTTTCACCTTGGGTTGTCTTTGAGTTGTGCTAATTCTCACACACAAAACATGCACACACACACACACAATTTGTACTTAATGTGTGTCCTTGTGCATTTTGAGAATATGTGATGTGTTTGTAATTTTGTACTACCAGACTGTGTGATTTGAAGTAGACACTTCCCTAAATGTTGAAGATAAATAGAAAAGTTGCCCTGGTCCAAAGGGATTATACTGGTGAAGACTAATAAGTAAGTTAATTGATATGTACCAAATCTAAGATGCATACCATAGAATGAAGAAACCTACTAGAATGGCAATATCCATAACCAGTATTTTAATGACAATATAGCACTTTTGAAAGCATGTTGTTAATTTTGGCTCTTCTCTCTAAAAATGTTGAAATCATCACTTTTTATAAAGTTGGATTGTCAACTGTCACTGTATATAACCCTGAATCATCTTTCCTCATACTCACTTGCATGTATACTGTTTTTTTCCTCACTTACTGAGCGTTCTCTTGATCTAAACCAACTACTGTGCTAATAGTTTGTATATTTTAAGTCAATTAATTATTGCAATGGTTGTATGAGACATGTTTTACTATTAACATTGTACCCCTTTTAAAGATGTCAGAAGTATTGTTAAGAGGTCTCAGGATTTCACATACCAAACTGATGCCTCTCTTACACGAAAAAGGTCTAGGGCCCATACCAACCCACTAATTAGTGTGGTAGGAAAGCCTTAGTTCTATGCAAAGATAAATGGAAAAGATTTTTTTTCTACTGATTTTCAAGTGACTTTAGAGATTCAGAAACAGACAGAAATTATTACATATATGGAAATTTCCATAAAATTGACTATTGCCATTTTTAATGCATGCTTAGAATGTAAACATTGAATTGAAGGTATAGTATAGAAGAGGTAGAAAATTATGTTTTGCCATACTCTGCATGTAATTGGAGATTAACCCTTGAGCACATCCACTGACACACAACATTCTCCTGTGGTCTGGGACTCAGACCAACAGGAAAGAGAAACTGATAGGCGTTCCAATCGGCCCAAGGATGCACCATGCTGTGTGTATGCTGGTGTGATCCAGATGTCCCAGGACCACTGCAGTGCAGGTCTGAGTTAAAGGACTTTAGTGACAGAATATTAATCTTAGATCACTGATACCACCCTTCTGCAGCTTCAGTTCCCCCAAACAAGCACACAAATAAACAAAAAAAGCACTTCAAAAATATTGAAATTCCAAGGTTCTTTCCTTCATAGAGAAGGTTGAACTTTGGCCTATTGGCATGTATAGAATTAGATCATATTTATTGTTAGTGTGCTTGAGTTCTGATGTCCACTTTTGAAGGTTTATTTCACTATATACATTATTATGTTTTTATGAGTTTTTGTGAAAATTACTGCTATTAAATAGTGGATTTTCATAAAATTCAGGAAAAATTTAGAATGTTTTATACATCATAATGGTCAGATACTCTACATTTCTTCCCAGGGCTTCTATAAATAAATTTTAAGGGAAGGGGTAGTTGAAGTATTGGATTTGGAATTTTAAACTTAAGATCAATCTGAGATTTTGCACTTTCATTTAAAGGCCTTAAATTGCTGGGCACAGTGGTGCTCGCCTATAGTCCTAGCTACTTGGGAGGCTGAGGCAGGAGGATTGCTTGACTCCAGGAGTTGGAGGTTGCAGTGAGCTATGATTGTGCTACTGCACTCTAGCTTGGGTGACAAAGAGAGACCTTGTCTCTAAATAAATAAATAAACAGATGCCTTAAATTGCAACACGAGCTACTAATCATGGTCTCGCTAAATCTGAACTTCATGAAAACCAACATGGAAATTAATAATTTGAGTTATGGCTTCAAGTTTAAACAACCTGTTTGAAGATAAACCATTTGTCAGGTTAACAGGATTACTGGTTTCCTAGCTTAAATCCCCCCCCCAAGAACAAAGATGGAAAAAAGTTGAGGCACACATCACTAAGGGCAGGGACCTCCTGTTGGAGCCCTATGTCTCATTTAGAGATGAGCTACATGTTGACAAGAGGAATAGGAATGGTTATTCTTTTCTTTTTAAACCTAGTCTTCAAGTAGTAAAAGGACTTGGATAAAGTTCCCAAATCAGTGTGAACTTCACTGGACTTAAGGTTTTATAACCATGGGCATGACTTTCTTCTACGTCCTCTCACTGTTTTCCAATAAAACCAACTCCCTCTTTCCAAATATCAAACATGGTCACATTTCTTCATGAATATTCATATTAACTACTTGAAAACTGAAGAAAGAGAAACTTTAGGCGGTGAGACATGTTGAGAGTTGTGTGCACAGTGCTCATAGGTGGAGTGGGACAACATGCTGATGGATTGCTACACATGGCAACCATGAAGTTCTGCATCACCTAGATGTGGATGGAAAAAGACCTCTTTCTAAATTATTTTCTGTCGGCTTTAAAAGAAATTCCTTCTACATTTCATCTTTTATGAGTCATCTCAATTGGTACTTTCACAAACTCTCAAGTATTCATTATGGAGAAATAATGAATACCCAAAGTTTAAATCACAAAATTAAAATTTCTCACTCTATTGTGATTAAAATAAGCTGCATTTGAGAAAAAAATTTAAGTGTATTTACTGAAAAAATGTGAATACCTCTTTATAAAAGGAAGCTAGATAAGTCAGTAATTTTACTCTTCTTGAGCAGCTAGTTAGAACAATAGCACTCCTGCACCTAATCATATTGTTGGGAGAACAATGTAAAATATAAAAGTCTGCATTAGAACTGAGATATTGTTAATGTATTTGCATGAGTATCAGGAAATGGTTTACATGGGGTTTTATATTGAATGAATTATTTTTATAAAAAATTTATCAATATTTATTTTGGAAAGCTGCTGAAAATGTTTATTTTTCAAAGTGAATTAACATGTATGGCACCAAATTCAATTTTATGTGGGTCTCTGCCAGAGTATTTTAAATAACATGTTTATTCAAAAAACCTGGAACTGAGAATGAATTTGCAAGGTATTTAATTTTGCAGTGAAATACCTGTATTATAGATATTGCACTTTAAAAACCTGTCATAAGTGTTTGGCATGCAGTTAACATTTTCTCTTTTGTCACAATTGGTATGTTAATAAATGTTATAAACAAAAGTGCTGAGATATGCATCTCCAATTGTTCTATAAAATTTAATTATCCTAATTCTCTGTTGTGTCCCCAAAGTCATAGAGAAAGCAGTGTACATTGTGACTGTATACTCATCTTTATGTCATTATTAATCAAAAGAAATGTTAGAGTTTTGAGAAGTGAAAGTCCAAATGGAATTTGTTACTTTAGGATTATATTATTGATTGTATGACAACACAATGATATTATTTCAGCTAACATTTCAAAATACAAATAATTAACCCTTGTAGTTTGTGTAAATAGTTAATAGAAGATTTTCATTCATTGTTAGCCTTTGATTGTGTCTTCAAAATTCCTACAAACATATGCCTTGCATTTGGAAAGGGTTTGAAAATATTTTATTTATTTAAAATTTTTTATTTTTCATTTTTATGGGTACATGATAGTTGTATATATTTATAGGGTACATGTGATGTTTTGATATAGGCATATAATGTGAATTAATCAAATCAGGGTAATTGGGGTATCTATCACCTCAGGCATTTATCATTTCTTTGTGTTAGGAACATTCCAGTTCCCCTCTTTTAGTTACTTTAAAGTTTGCCCTAACTTATTGTTGATTATAGTAATGTTGTTCTATCAAATATTGTTCATTCTATCTAACTATATTTTTACATCCATTAACCATCCCTACTTTATCCATTCCCTCCCGGCTACCCTTCCTAGCCTCTGGTAACCATCATTTTACTCTTTGTCTCCATGAGATCAATTGTTTTTAATATTTAGCTCTCACATATGAGTGAGAACATGTGAGATTTGTCTTTTGGTGCTTAGCATATTTCATTTAACATAATGTTCTCCATGATTTCATTCTTTTTATGGCTATATAATATCCCATTGTATATATGTATCGTGATTTCTTTATCCATTCAGCTGTTGATGGACACTTAGGTTGATTGCCAATTTTGGCTATTGCTAATAGTGCTGCAATAAACATGGGAGTGCAGGTATCTTTTCAATATACTGAGTTCCCTTCTTTTGGATATATTCTTAACAGTGGAATTGCTGACGATACCTGGTACTGTTGCTTTTACCAATTTAATATACTGGTGGTTCTCAAATTTGTTCAGACAGGACTCTTGGAAATCATGGTGTACTTTGAAGAAAATCAAGATATAGATTTACTTCTATATCACCTGAAAACAGCTGCCTGGTAGCAAATATTTGTATATCCATATCTGTTCCTCAAAATAAGATAAAAAGAGTTTTACCCAGCAATGTAGTGAACTAGATATTCAGAGAAATCTTTCCCAATATACAGGGTGTTCTGAGAGGGCAACATGGAGGGAGAAAAAGAAGGGGAAGTCCTTACCCTAAACCAAGGACCTCAGATGTGAGCAGGATGAAGTTGTGCCCAGCAGAGGAAGCTGGCAGAGCTTATTGCCTCTTTTCATCATTGCACTGAACTGAGTTGAAGAAAATGAAAGGAAGAGAAAAGCTTCCTTGAGAATTCCTACCCTCAGCTTTGTATTTCCTCAGACTTCTATTCTCAGATTTTCATTCACATGGATTTGGGGCAAGAATTCCTACTACCTGGGTGATCTAGAAAAACAAAAAGCAAATTATCTAGTTCTAAGAGTTCCAGATTGGTTGAGCCTTTAAGGTACATCACAGAAACAAATGCAAACAACCCCTGGGGAAATCCATCCTCAGCTCACATCCTGAAAGCTTCAACTCTCCAAGGAACTTGGCCCCTTTAGTGAAAGTCAGTGGGAACAAAAGATAACAGAATGAGAAACACAAGGACTGGAAAACCAAGCCAACTTGTGGAGGAAGGCAGAGGGGAAAGGGAAAAGGGTTGGTCCTTGAAGACACTATTGAACTGCTGAGCCAATCCTGTAACTTCCTACTTCTCAACTCCTAAAGGAAAAGATCCTTTTTACCTATGGGTTAAGCCATTTCAATTGGCTATCTACTGAAAGAAGCATCTCACTTGAGAGAGAGAAAAAGAAACTGAATTGGGAATGGGGTGATTGTGATGACAAAATAGCCACACATTGTGATTGATTCCTAAAAGGCAGACAGATAGTTATTCTGTTTCTGGTTTTGGAGAACCAGCCCTAGTAAATTGGGAGTGGGAGTGGGGAAGACTAATTTTAGATTGAGGGAAAATCACAGTCTTAAAAATCAACACAAATCCTGGTCCCAGTAAAACTGAAGAATACTTAGTATATGTTTATTCTTCTTTTAGAAAGAATGAATGCAATTCACATAGTTATTAATATAGAAATTTCTGACAGCACACCATGCCTCAAGCAGTAATGTGAAGATAAGCGAGCATCTGTTGACCCTGAGATAAAATACAGATAAAGAAAACTAAAGAGACATAAGAGGTTCTAGCCAGCCTCGGTGAACTTGAATTCTCCCAGAAAATTTTAAGATATTTGATACAGGAAGTATATTCCAATTCCTTCTCACAAAATAGGACTCAGTACAAAAGGATAGTGTGTTGAATGCTGTTGGAAATTGTTATGCTGAAGGTGCCCAGTAAAACTTTCCCGAAAGTCTTCTCTTTAGTATACTGAGAGGTGGCCTGTTTTGAGGATTCCCAGAACAATTCTAGATTTGCAATCTGTTTTTGCCCCTACGTCATTTTGTGTCCTTTGTAGATCCTCCCCTCTCTGAGCCTCAGTTTCCTTGACTGTCAAATGAAAAGCATGCTTTACTTAATTTCTGAAGTATCTTTCAACTTCAGATTTCTAAAGCCATGTTTCTTTACCAATATTCCTCTTTAATGAGATTACCAATCTCAACAGTAAAGACAAAATAGGTGTGGATTTAGGGAGCATTTTTTTTTTTACTCCTGGTTGTATTTTTCTTATAGACTCAACAATCTGGGTTCTTCTGATGTGCTGACTTTACTTTCAGGGGCTCTCCTGCAGCTGCCCTTAACAGACTTTAAAGTCAGGCTCTCCTACAACAAATGTACTGAAGCTACAATAGGTAGTTAATCCTCCAAGAAAGGAGTTTCATGTGCGTGAATGGGATAGGAACTGTCACCAGCTTGATGTAGGTGGTGGTAGAGCTATTGACAGGTGAAATTGCTTGCAATTTCCCATAGATTATATTGACAATACACTGGGATATGTGATAGAGACAAATATATAAATATTTAAAGCAAGACATATATATGTTTGATGGCCTATCTTTATGAAAATCTCTTTAGTAAATATTTTGTTTATAGCCTTAGGCCTGGTATTTCCATGCACTGTAATTTCATGAGAAGGCTGGCAGGAAAAGTTTTTGACTCTGTAGTAGTAAGTGAAATTGTACAATTAAGTTCCCTGGCCAAGTGTGATACCTTTAATGCAAAGAGTTTAAAGCAAGGAGGCCCTGCAGCAGTAAGCTGGCATCTTGACACCTTAGGGATCTAAAAGAAATCTGGTGTGATTTCAGTGAAAAGTATTTATCTACTACAGAGTCAAATTTATCTACTACAGAGTTGATATATGTATACATTGTGAAATGA